TAAGGAAATTGAAAACAAGCCAGATGATATTTAAAAAAAAAAAAGTTAATGTGGGAGGGAATAACAAAGTTATTTAACAAGCAAGGAATCAGTGCTATAAGTAATGAAAAAGAACTAAAAAAATGCTGGATAAACAAAAAATAACTATGATAACAGTAATTTCTATTTTTAATTTTAAGTTGGTTGTAACTTTTTTCCGGTGAGCAAACCAAGGTTTTGTCTTTTTCACAAAATCCTGACCTGATTATTTATTATAAATGATATATATACATTTAATAGTATATGTATATCAAATTCATTTTAAATAGTTTATAGTTATAACAAATATAAATTATAAAAAGTATATAATTATAAACTTTTTTTACTATAAAGGACTATTTAATACAATAAAATTCAATGCACAGAAAATTAATGTAAGGAAAAGAGTATAAATGGTTATTATTTTTAATGTAAGCGTTATGATTTTATTTATATTATAAATAAGATCTATATAAATTATAAAGATTTTTCTAATAATTTGTGTTTGACCTTTTTATGTGATTGTGCAGCATATTATGATCCATTTTTAAATTTTGTATAATTTTTGAAAATTTTTAGAATATAATCTTGAATCTATGACGACCATTTCAATGGGGAAGTATTCAATAAGTAACTTTTTAAGAAAACAATTACATCTTACTTAAATTACTTTTTTATACATTTTTTAAATATTAGATGAAGTACTTTGCAGTTAAGTTATCAAAATGGATCACCTATCTCAATAATATATATCTTTTTAATTTAATATAAATTACTAATGACATTCATGATGCTGAAGAACTGATATGAAAGTACAAAATTAAGACTGTCAAAGTTAATGTCAGGGGTGTAGTGGCTTTAAAAAGCCCATGCGAAAAAGTCCTATATAAAAGGCTTATATATTTTATATAAGGCCTATATATGCTATATATGCCTATATATGATTTTACAATACTTGTTGGATGTAAAGACCCATAAACACATACATGCATAATACATATACACATGCATAATACATACACACACACACACACACACACACACACACATATATATGTATATATATATATATATATATATATATATATATATATATATATATATATATATATATATATATATATATATATATATATATATATATATATATATATATATATATATATATATATATATAAACACACATATAATCCTTATAAAGTAGTCAAAAGAGACTTTAATTTAAAAAAAAGTCTCATTCAACGCTTTTTATTAACATTTAAGCAACATCGACAATTAGGCGACATTTTAATGTTGGTTAAAAGTTAAAAAATTAAAATAATGCAGAAGCACATTTAGTTTTATCATTTTTTTAAAAACTGCAATAACTATGAATAGAAAGGTTTTTCATTTAATTATGTTTTTATTTTTATATAATATTTTTAAAACATTGAGGAGTGTTGCTACATCAACTGACAAATAGGTAAAACATGAAAGTGAACAATGACAAAACTAGTGGACCAGATAATCCTCTTTTCAAAAAAAGCTGAAAAATATTTACGAAGAACCTAATTTTAATTATAATCCAGTTCAACTGATATGATTTGATTGGAATAAGGTTAAAGGCAGTCTTTTAAAGGAGGCAACTTATAAGTTTTTAAAGGACTTTTAAAGGAGGCAGCTTATAAGTCATTGACATTTTGCAAAGCTTATGTTGGTAAAACAGGTCTTTTAAGAGATAATAAAAGCTTGCAGAATTAGTCGTCACTTATTTATCTCCTTTTAATATAAAGTAAGAAAAACTGGTGCTATTCATCATGCAAAATTTGATATGCCTATGTCTGGCTATTATAAGCCTGAGAACAAAGTAAAGGTTGATATCAAGAAAATTTATAAAATGCATACAAATATTGGTAAAAAACTACCATCCTTGTCTGTCTTGGTTAACGACTTTTCTCACCTGATTATTGACATGATTAAGCTTGATGAACAACGAGTTAAAGACTGGCTCTTACTTCCACCTAACTATTGGCATACTCAGTCATGCTTCAAAAGTTTTCAAAAACATGCTGAAACTTTGTAAATGACCATTAAGAATGGCCATCATAGGTATGATGGGACAGTATATTTATAGATATTCCAATGAAACTGAAAACATAACAGATTGCTCACAGTAGACAAAGTTCAATCTGTATTCAGATCACCAAAAAACATCTAGAACAATTTCAAAAAGTAAACTTAATGATGGGCTCGGTGTGATAAAGAAAAGGATAAAGAGATAATTGATTAGAAAATCAAATATTTTTTTGTTATAAAATTTCCAATAAACATTTATTTTTTATTTGTTCTTACTCATTTTGATTTTTCAGTATAAATAAATAGTGCTTTTTTAAATATAAGTAACTGACATTGCATGCATGAGGGGGGAATGAACATCTGAAAAACACCATGTTATGAGTCTTACATAAATTAATTTTTCTGCTGAACTAAAATAAAGTTTTCAAAACTATAATAAAGTTTCTCTATTGCTTTCTCTTTTGGTTACTCAGACACAATGGCTGCCTATTTTAAATAGATCTGGTCTGGATTTAAAAACAAACAAACCTGGATTTGTTCACTAGAAAAAACTGTAGACTTTTCAAGTTTGTTTTCAAGACTAATTTGTACAAATCATCAAAAATCAAAGTGAAATCTTATTTTTCAAGTACGAATTCAGTTCAAGTTCATTTCTTGCATTACACTTTAGTCAACCTTCATATTTGAAGTATAACTTGAAATCTCAAATTTACTTTTTTTAAGTTGAACTTAAAACTGAAAATTTTAAAGTACAGCTGGAGTTTAAAGGAACTACCAAGTCCCTAGACATGTTGTGTTCATATTAAAGAGAATGTTAAAAAAAATGTCTGAGCAAATTTTTTTTGATTAAAACTAATTAATAAATGTATATCAAGAAAAAAAAATCTTGTTGTTTTAGTCGAAGCTCGTCTTCTCCATTTTCTGTGGTATTTTGAGTATGTAAAATAAACATGATTTTCCAGGCGCATTATACAGACTTGATAATTTATTCAAGCGCGTTTAATTCACAGGAGTTTAGTGCATGACTAAAACTCCTATGAATTAATTTTATCTGAATTAAAGTTCACCAGCCACTGTGATGCTGTAGAAGAAATGAGATCCTTTTAAAGCTCAGATCCCCCTGCAAGCAATCAGCAGAAGTTGGCTTCTTATTGTGACAAGAATAAATGATAGTATTATCAGCGAACAATGCCAGTTTAGATGTGAGAATATCTGGAAGATCGTTAATGTAAATTAAAAAGAGTATAGGCCCAAGGATTGAACCTTGAGGAACCCCTGAGGTTACAGAATAAGAAGAAGAGTGCTGTTCATCAAGGACAACTTTTATACTACGATTGGAAAGGAACGATTCAATAATCTTAAAGGTGTTTCCAGATACACCGTAAGAAGAAAGCTTATGGAGAAGACCAGCATGCTAAACTTTATCAAACGCTTTAGAAATGTCAAGAGCGATGGCCTTAACCTTTCCACCTTTATCTAATGCGCGATAAAACCTTTCGGTTATTACTGATAGCAAATCAGCCGTACAACGAGAAGATCGAAATCCATATTGATGATCAGAAAGAAGGTTATGAGATTCGAGATAAGAGATTAAGTGTTTGTTAATTAAAGATTCAAAAACCTTGCTTATGATAGGAAGAAGACTAATGGGACGGCAGTTAGACAAATCGGATCGCTCTCCAGAATTTTTAAAAATTGGGATAACAGATGCTGCTTTCCAGCAGGCTGGAAAACAAGACTCTGATAAGCACTTGTTGAATAGTTTTGAAAGGATAGACGACAGCTCTGGAGAACACTTCTGCAAGACTTTAACAGGTATGTTGACCGGGTCACATGCTGTAGAAGAGTCTAACAGAAAATCATATTAGATACAGAAGCTGGAGTGATACGGATGTCGAGCAATGGATCAACCTGTTTGACGGCTATATCAGGTAGAACGCAACTAGTGGAATCGAGAGATGATATTGATGAAAAGTTCTTGGCAAACAATTCAGCTTTGTCTTTAGGTGATGGGACAAAGTCTGAACTATACAAAAGAGGTGGAATTACAGACTTGCCCTTATTATTGATACTATTAAAGATTCTCCAGTCACGAGAGCCTAATTTTTGTGATGAAATACGAGATTTCATGGTCTGAGAATAGCGGGCTTTGGCGTTAGACAAAACCTTTTTACAATGGTTCCTAGCAGTAATAAACAGACGTCTGTTTTCTGGAGAATTTTTTTGCTGATAGATATGGAAGTAATGGTTTCGATTGGCAATTGCAGCAGCACAATGTGAGGAAAACCATGGAAAAACATAATTAGCTTTCAAATAAAATTCTTGAACTAATTTATTTTCACTAATGCATTCTGAATTAAACACAAGCATGCAAGTTTATTTATAGCACAATTAGTTTATTTACCTGGATGAAATTACCCTAATATCTAAAGCCCAATCTGAATGTTGGTAAGTAGACGTTGTATTCCAAAATAAGAAAAATATATATATTTTTTATTAACTGTAAACTATATATTTTTTATTAAAAATATATATATTTTTATATGCGGTAGTGGTGTAGTGGTAGAGCGCTCGCTTCATAAATGAGTGGTTCGGAGTTCGATCCTCACCACGTCCCTGGTAGTACCGCGCTCAACTCGTTTCTCCGCGCAGCGGCCTTGTTCATCAAGGTTCGTGTTTCGGAGTTATAGAGTTGAGAGAGGGTTATAGCCACAAATAAGTAGCCTCCTCGTCTGTAGTGGCCTTCTCGGCCTTGAGGAGGTGAATTAAAATAAAAAAAAAACAAAAAAAAAACTCCAAAATGTGAAGAATGAAAATAATGACTTCAAAATAATTTGAAAGTTTTGCATTTAAGAAATTTGATATATTTATACAAAAATTTTTATTTAAACTTAAATAAAAAATATTTTAACTAAAAATTGACAAACCTTTAACTTTAACATAATCCGATCCATAAAAATCCATGTCCATAAAATTCAACTTATATACTTGGCTACTGGTAAAACTTTCAATGTCCCATTCACACTTCAATGAAGTTAAAATGTTCTTAGAGTTATAAGTTAATGGCCAATTTGGACTGGATACAACTCCCACTGAATTGTAAATATTACTGCAGATAAAATAGATTTTTATCATCATGATCAATATATATATATATATATATATATATATATATATATATATATATATATATATATATATATATATATATATATATATATATATATATATATATATATATATATATATATATATATATATATATATATATATATATATATATATATATATATATATATATATATATATATATATGTATATATATATATATATATATATATATATATATGTAGATATATATAGATATATATCTAGATATATACCATAAAATCGTTTAAGTTCAGTCACCATGTAACTTCGATCATTTAAGGAAAAATGTAAAAAAAAAGCGTGCAAAACTTTTTTTCTCTAATAGTATTTGTTATTACTTCATAAATATGAATCTATAAAAAAAAAAATTTTTGTTTCAACCTGCTGAAACAATTCGTTTGAAAAACAACAATTCAAAAAAGGCATACTATTAAAAGTCTAAAATAAGCAAAGTATTAAAATAAATGATTGAATTTAAACTTAGTATTATTAAGAATCTGAAAATTAACTATATTTACAAAAAAAAATAATAACTTTTGAATACTTCCATATTCTTTTTTTAAATTAGTGAAATTTTGAAATACCCTAACTTCATTCATTTATGGATAAATAACCAAGGAGAGTTTACCTGTAAATTTACCAGTATAATTAGACTTTTTATAATGGATACTCACTATGGTATTTTATTTGAATTTAGAATTTATTTACAATTTCAAAATTAACCTGTTTTAAAATAAAAATTACTGGTCGATTTTCTGGTAAATTTATAAACTGATTGAACTAATTACAAAACAATAACACATATTGCAACGCACTGAAATAGTTCTTTTGCAAGTTAATATATTTATGTCATGATGACATCGTCATTGCATGAATTTATGTGAGAAAATACAGATGGCTTGTGGTTTGAAGGCTGTGGACGAAGGTATGAGTAAGAGGAAAGCAGCCATAACATTTGTCTTCAAAAGATCAACTTTCATAGACAGAAGTAATGGGATAAACTGCTAAAAAAAAAAGGTAAACCAACTAAGTTGAGCAACAACATCGGAGATATTTTAGTAAAAGTTTTAATATTTATAAGTGATATTTAGTTTAATTTTAGTTTAACTTGAAAAACTGTGTGTTATTAATAACTACTTGGTTTATTCAAATCAAACGTGTTTTTGATGGCAGCAAAGTTTCACTTGCCTGGTATTACACATTTATTAGAGGTACATATTATATTGTGCGTCTCATAAAAAGTTACATTATGACATTTGAAGAATTTTTGATAGAACTTGCAAACAAGCATAGCACAAAATAAAAAAACCCAATACAAGCTAGAAAGGTTTTGCGTGAAAAAACAATACAAGGGGGTAATTCAATTAGAACTCAAAAATGTTTGGCAAAGAAGCAGATTTGTTTAACGAATCTACTGTTGAACAACGGAAACGACAACTAGTGGAGGTAGTCAAAGTTCCAACTATATCAGAATCCAAAGCGATTTTCATATATTAAGACTGTTAATCTAATTTTTTTTGGAGATAAAATTTCAACTCAAAAACAATTATGGATGCATTGCGAATCCTGTGACGATTGGTTGTATAGATCTTGCTATTCTACTTTGGTCGACAGTATGTGCAAGAATTGCATATAAAAATACAAAGCTAATAAAAAACATTTAAAGCAATAATAATAATAGTAAACATATAAAGTAAAGAAGTGTTTTTTTGTTAATTATTAAAAAGGCTTTTTTAACCTTTTTAACCAAATTGAAAAATATATTTTTACTTTTATTAACCATTGGAATAGCAAAAGTGATAAAGGCTGAAGAAACAAATTAGTTGACCAATTATGATAAAAAAAAACACACACACACAAAAAATGATGCCCTTCTTGGTTACTGGTAATTCCTGGTATTAAATTATCATTTTACAATAAAACAACATTTAAAAATCTAGTTTTCATTATTTGTGACATTAAATTTGTGATGTGTTATAAAGATATATTTTGCGACCGAAACTTATGAGATGGTATTGAAAACTCGGTCAAGGAAGTTGTTTTCATTTAAAATAAAAAATGCTAGCTTTTACTTTTATTATTTTATTATTACAATATAGATTAGAAATAATTCAGAAAAAAAGTTATAAAAAACATGCCTGAGATATGAATGTTCAAAGCTTAAGTGACTGAACTTAGGCGATTTTACAGTATATAAATTTAATTTAAACCTTTAAACATTTTTAACAAATTCTCTTCTCTTTCAATAAATCTCACTTCGCAACTCTTAATGAAACATGCTCATTTACTAAAGACTGAGTAAAAAATGATGTTTTTTACAGACTCCTTTACAGTCAAAGTTAATCATCTAAAATTGGATGTAGAAGGTTTTGCAGTACTGCACTCAACTTGTTTCTTTGTGCAGCAGTCTTGCTTGTCAAGGTTTACGTTTTGGAGTTAAAGGGTTAACAGAGTTGTAACAAAAATTGTAAAAAATAAATGAGTGGTCAACTGTAGTGTATATGCAATAATATATGCAATTTATTCATAATACATTATAACAATACATTATTTATAATACATTATTTATAACACATTATTTACATTATAACAATACATTATTTATAATACATTATTTATAATACATTACAACTTTATTTATATTACATTATAACAATTAAAATTAAAATTAATAAAAACATAGCAATTGATTTATAAAATAACATAAATTATTAGAATTTTGAATTTAAATTGGATTTAACATAGTCAAAAAAATACCTTATACAGAACATAAACTAAAGAATCATGAAAAAAAAAAATTTATGATAATTGATTGATCTGAGCTGAATAATTTTGATACATTTGCAGGATTTTCATGGAAATCTTTTCCTTAAATCTGTGTAAAGATTTTTGGAGAGAAAACTGATTGTGGCAGAATGTTACACGAGGAAGCAACTTGATTGATAAAAAATTATTATTTTTTGATTCAACACTTGCTCATATCTAATTCAAGGTGTTGAGGGTGAGTATTCACAAATAAGTTTGAGCTTATAGTGTTACATGACTTTTACTAGACTCTCAAGTTAATTCCTAACTTCTTGTTAATTTAATATTGTCTAAATGAATTACAGCTAATATGATCCTTTGACTGGATAAGCATCTTTGATTCTTTCTAAGGTAATAATAACTATAAAGTACTTGTAAAAAAAATTTAAAGAAGTAATCAAAATCCACACTCCCACTACTACGTTACCTTTCAAAAGGTAAAAAAGAACTGTAGAACACCACACAAGTTGAAGTAGCTGTGAGAGAGAAGAGAGTACTATGGAGCAAATACTCAGGAGCCAGTAGGTAGACACACAAGCTGATTCTTAATGAACACGTAGCAGCATGTAAAAGAGTCAGCAAAGTGGTTAGAGCAGCAAATGTCAGCTATAAGAGTGAGATTGCAGCATGCTTCAAATACAAAAAGACTATTAACAATATGTATTTGTTGCTGAACCTCTAGATTAAATGATGCATTTTGGAGACCGATTACATGTGAAGTGTGAGTTGATTAAAGCTACAAGCACTCAAGCAAATCATGAAGCACTGCAACAACAACAGCCTATTTTCAAGAGCTCAGAACAGTTTCGTACATTAGCAGGGTTGTGCCTCTAATCTACTAAAAGCATACAAAATTCTGAAAAGTCAAGCATTAAGTTGAAGCAGGGGCTACAAGAGCAAGCCATGAACTTAGTTGGCTCAAATTTTTCCGAAGCAGAGGTCTTCTATGATTACCTTTGTCAACCTGTGACAAAGGTAATCATAGAAACCAAGCACAAACTATACAAAGAAAGGAATACAATTCTAATTGTAACCAAACTTGAAGAGGAACATATTAAAAAATGACTTGATTTAGCAATGCAAGATTGTGCATAATGTTGAGAAAATCGATTTTGTTGTGCCTCAAATCTTCAGGCAAATGCACTGAGTATAACCTTTATTTCAACAAATTAAGACTAAGCGATTAGTGAAGAACATTTAGGAAAAGTGATAAGTTTTTTACAAACTGAGTATTTGAAGAATGTTGTTAACGCCAATTCAACAGAGGCACTCAAAAGCTTATTTGACACACTAACAACATAAGTATCAACACATCCCGTGTTCAATATTTGTCAGTATAGAGTCTGGTGCTGCCTTTCTTCATTAATATATTATAAACAATTTATTCTTTTTGGATTATTATAAATTTAATTTATTATAAATTAATTTATTTCTGAATAAAAAAAACAAAATACAAAACAAAAACTATAATAGTTGTAATTTTTGCTGTGTATGTTTTTGTTCATAATTGACTCAACTTATAAACTTTTGATTTTACAACTAACTTTTTTTGATTATGTAACATTGTATAAGATTATATGACTATATGACTTTTTTTGATTATGTAACATTGTATAAGATTATATGACTATATGACTTTTTTTGATTATGTAACATTGTATAAGATTATATGACTATATGACTTTTTTTGATTATGTAACATTGTATAAGATTATATGACTATATGACTTTTTTTGATTATGTAACATTGTATAAGATTATATGACTATATGACTTTTTTTGATTATGTAACATTGTATAAGATTATATGACTATATGACTTTTTTTGATTATGTAACATTGTATAAGATTATATGACTATATGACTTTTTTTGATTATGTAACATTGTATAAGATTATATGACTATATGACTTTTTTTGATTATGTAACATTGTATAAGATTATATGACTATATGACTTTTTTTGATTATGTAACATTGTATAAGATTATATGACTATATGACTTTTTTTGATTATGTAACATTGTATAAGATTATATGACTACATGACTTTTTTTGATTATGTAACATTGTATAAGATTATATGACTATATGATATTATATATGATTATGTAAGATCAAAAAAAAAAATACATTTGTTTAACAAGTAAAAACAAACAAATATTTTAATTAAATTGAGTAAAAAAACAAAAAAACAATGTAAAAAGTAAAAAGCAATAACAACAAACCTATTGCAGCTTGAATAAAACTTTGAAGGTATTACTTCGTCTTGCGGAAATGATCGATAACTTGCTTGAAATTTACTTAAAAATCTTTGGCTTTTAGGTTTAAGACGAATCTCAATACATCCTTCAAATGAAAATATGGCATGTGGAAGTCGCTTCATATTGCGAGTACAGAATTGAGATACAATGGTTTTTTGAGAGCACCTAAAATAAAAAACAAATAAAGATAACACCAACGCAATAAACATTGGTGCAGCATGCTAAAATAACAGCAGATTAATGAGTAATTATATCTTAATTATATATATAAGTAAAATTATTAACATTAGTAGTATTCAATTTAACAAAAGTTTAATTTACTTACGCTTTTTTAACTTACTATTATCTATTAAGATTATTATTTAATATTAAAATATTTTAAAGTGTAGATAAACGTCTACAAACGAAATCAACTATTTCACCAAGTATTACAGTTGGTATTTTAGGTTTTTAAGCTAGAGCAAAATTTGTTCAGAACATACATTTAAGATGAAATCAACTTTCTTATTAAATTTTTTAACTGTAAATGGACATTCCTATAAACAATATTCAGGTATTGTTAATAATTATAAATATTTCACGAATCCATCTTATTCTCAAAAAATGGATATCAAAAACCTAGTTATTTTACCATGGATTTCAAGAGTAAGCCTAGTTCGTAGAAGAGAATTTTGTAAAGTTGGCGTTAAAACAGTCTTCCGTTTTGGTAATCCCTTGCAAATATACTTTGCTATAATAAGTCTAAACTGCTTCCGAATAGACATCCAGAAGTGTACCAGCTTGAACGCACATGTGGTGCATGTTATATTGGTGAAACAAGAAAAAAGATTTTTACACAAATTCAAGAACATAAAAGTAATATAACAAAAGCCAACTGAAATACATCTGGAATAATGGAACATACAAAACATTGTATGGTAAAATAAACTGGGAGAACCCTAAAACTTTCTGTTGTTTCAAACAACTACACAAAAAAAAATTGTGAGGCCATTGAAATACAATGTGGGCAATGTTCAGAATTCAAAGAAAACATCTTAAATCGTGACAATGGCAATTTGGTGATGACTCGCATTTAGAAACAACTTTTTGTTAAATTAAAAAACATTGAACACCTAACGTTGCAATGACATCATTTTGTTACATTCATATTAATTTTTTAAACAGTTTTTTTAACGGTTTTATTAGCTTGATAATGGCTGAGCTGAAATATCACGTAATAAAATAAATAGTATGATATTTTAATGCTTATATTATCATTACACATACTGTTAAAGATGTCACTTAAATTATATATATATATATATATATATATATATATATATATATATATATATATATATATATATATATATATATATATATATATATATATATATATATATATATATATATATATACATATATATATATATATATATATATATATATATATATATATATATATATATATATATATATATATATATATATATATATATATATATATACAGGGGCTAATCTAGACCATTTTCGATAGCCCCGACCGTTTTTGGGTGCTGCCCAAATTAAAATTTGAGGACCTTTTTTTTTTAAACGTTTTTTTTACGGGAAATATTGTTTTTTTTTTTGTGAAAAAAAAACATGCAGATTTTCTGCTAAAGTTCACCAAAAGAAGGGGGTACTGCTGCCCAAATTTTTTTACTAGAAAAGGCCTGATATATATATATATATATATATATATATATATATATATATATATATATATATATATATATATATATATATATATCAGGCTGTCATACAAAGCGCGTGTAATCAAAAACCTTTTATGTTTTATATTAAATTGTAATGCTCAAATTAAAATTAAATTAAAAAGCTTGTTTGCAGTTTATTTTATTTAAATCGCAGGCGCATTTTATTTTATTTTTCTATTTTAATGAATAAAAAAGTTCAAAATCTTTTTGTTAATTAGACTAATAAGAGCATGAAATTAGTAAAAATTACTATTTTAAAAAGACTACGTTATTTTTTTAAGCAATTTTTTTTTTGCAACTTTTTTGACAAAATTAATGTTTATACAATTTAAAAATATTATACAAAACACTTTCTAATAAATTTAATAAAATTCGTTCTCTTATTAAACCAATCAACTTTAATAACGCTTAAAAAGATAAGCTTTAATAACATTTATTTCATACGTAATTAAAAACGTAACAAAAAGTTTTGCTTCGAGTTTAAGTTTTTATCTTCATTTTAGTGCTTATATAATTTCTTTTTCGTTATAAATTTGCTTTTCGTTTCTTTTTTGATTAGGAATTTTTTTTTTCGTTAGTTTTTTTTTAAATTTTTTTCCTAGATTAAGTTTACCTTAGCGTTTCTACATTCAGAACATTTCTGAAATTTTTAACTCATCAAAACATATAAACATTGTTTATTAAACAATCGTGGTCAAGTTGTCAAAAAAATAAAATCATTTGCGTGGTCAGCAATAGCGCTCGATTGCACGCCATTCCTGTCCAAGCCTGATATATATATAAATTTTTTTATAAAAACTATATATATACATAACTTTATATATATATATATATATATATATATATATATATATATATATATATATATATATATATATATATATATATATATATATATATATATATATATATATATATATATATAAAGTTTAAAGAAGTTAATATATATAACTTTATACATTAATATATATATAACTTTATACATATATATATATATATATATATATATATATATATATATATATATATATATATATATATAAAGTTATATATATATTAATGTATAAAGTTATATATATATTAATGTATAAAGTTATATATATATAAAGTTTAAAGAAGTAAAGTATTGAAAGTTAATCATTAACTCAAAACAAAGATTTTTATATTTTGGTCTTTTTTAAAAATTATTGAAATAAAACGAAATTATTAAAATGGTGCAGAATAGACTTACCATGACCAGTAATATATTAATGTTCAGTAATAATTATACGAGTCATGGTAAGTCAGTTATTTCATATATTTAAGTCATCTCATCTTTTTTGAAATTTTTTATACCAATGGTATTTAATTAACACATTTCAAGCGGGTGTTCTAAATATTATTTAGACTGGTACTGATATCCGATTCGTTGATAAATAGCAATTCAGGCAATGTTTGCTGAAACGTTAAAAAATTTTTAAAGTTAAATATAAAGGAAAAATTTATTTTATAGCTTTAAAAAGTAATTAATAAGTATTGTTATTATATATATATATATATATATATATATATATATATATATATATATATATATATATATATATATATATATATATATATATATATATATATATATATATATATAAATTTACTTATTTTTCTGCCTCTTACTAAAATATATTGAATTAAGGAATAAGAATAGAAAAGGCCGCTGTGGAATAGATTTACCAAGACCCGTATTTTACGGGCCATGACAGGTAGTGTTTTTATATTACTAAAACACTTTTAAATAAAGTAACAATTTACTGCTAATGATTTTTTACATAAGTTATATATATATATTAGGGCTGTACCGGATTTCGGCTCCGGCTCCTGCTCCGGCCGAAATCCGGCCATTTTTACAAATCCGGCCCAAATCCGGCTCTGGCAAAAATTTAGCAAATCCGGCATAATTTTAGCCGGAGTTTTGAATTTTGTCAAATATTTATTACATTTTTTTTGCCCGTGTTTACATGTATACCTAATATTTCATTTATAAAATTCAATTTTTTTTGTAATTCTATATTTTATGAACCTCATATTTGTTTTGGTATTTGTATTTATATTTCTTTATAATTTAATAAGCTAAGTCTAATTTAAAACAACTACGCAGCAAAAAATTCTGAAGGGAAGACACACGATATTCTAGAATGATGCAGGTATAAAGACTATGATGTCAACCCTAATCAAGTGATTGGATGAGCGTTTTAAAAGCATTGAAAAGAGAAACCTCTTTATATACTGACGAGGCTGGTTGACTCACAATTTAAAACTAAATTCTCATTACAGGCAACACTGACAGCTGAAAAAACAAGATTGAAGTCAATATGAGCATGCTGAACAGAAGATTGACAAAACTGAAGAAAATCCACTAAAATAAGCCGGGCTTAATAATTTTTCTACATCATCATCATCATTACTCTGGCAATTTATTGATAAAATTATTCAGTCTACGTCCGCTGGTGGCAGGGCACATAAACAACAATTACTAAAAAGCATTGTAACTCAGCTAAGGAAATATCCGAAAGAACCAGAAATAAATAGACACAATGATCCACTACAGTGGCGGAGTGACAAAATCCCGGAAAAAAAGTTCAATAGAATTACTATAAACTTTTAAAACATATGGCCTATAGAATTTCTTTAGAATTTCTATTAATTTATATATAGAAATTGCTATAAAACTTTTTAAATAACAACAATGAAGTTTAACAGAAAACAGCAGTCACTTGGTATTCTGAATAGTCCACATTGTTGACCATGCTCAACACCAATTAGGGATGTACAGGATTTTGGCTCCTGTAGTTTTGTTTTGAAATCCGGCTCCGGCTCCGATTCCGGCCGAATCTGTCAGTAGAAATCCGGCAAATCCGGCAAAATTAATTTTTTCAAAGGATTTGAAAAAATTAATATATATATATATATATATATATATATATATATATATATATATATATATATATAATATATATATATACATATATACATATACATATACATATATATATATATATATATATATATATATATATATCAGGCTTGGTCGGGAAGCGGGAGCGATCGCTCTCGATTGCTGACCACGTAAATAATATTTAGTTGCGAAAAGCTGGCCAGATTTTTTAGTCGTTTTGAGAACATTTTAAAAAGCAAAAAAAAAAAAGCGACGAAGATTAATTGGACCAACGAGAGACAATTACAAAAAAAAAAAAAATAGGCAAGTAAAATATCTTTAAACGCGAAAAAATTTAAAGCTAAATAAATTACATTTAAAACAAATATTTTCGAAACATCGCTCTTTTATAATTTTTTTTTATAAAATTAAGCAATGTTTTTTATAGAAACATCAACTTTTTATAGAAACATACAACCGTCAACTTAAAAGATTGTTTAAAAGGAAAACAAATATTCTTTATT